TAGATGGTCTTTGCCGTAAGTGTATTATGTATCCATTGCGGCAAGCAAATTTGCGTGCTAGTGATTCTAATCGTTCGCTCTCTCCAGTACAGACTTCTGCAGCGGTTTTGTACATATTATGGATAACGTAGCGCTTTAGAGCTATAGAATGCGCTGACGTGGCGGACAAGGATGTTTTTCGAGCTTTCTTTGCTATGCCTTTTGTATCCGACAGATTTAGTGAGACCATTAAACGCTGCATAGCGCACAGTTACAGAACGAAGTAATGATGGTCAACATTCCTAGCAATACTATCAGAAAGCGGTTGATCAGAAATATTAGGTTGGGGAATTATTTCTGTTACCTTTCATTTTTATTTTCTAGAAATCTAAGAAACATCCGGGATGCAAAGGTCTACCCACCGGGCACTGTCAGAACCGCGGTCCCTGCGCAAAACCCCCACTTTATCGGTGAGAGTACGTCTTATGGACATTTTTGTCAGCGGGCGCATTCTTTCAGGTGATCAAGGGGAGACCGGGGAACGTGGTATTCGGGCAGGGTATAGTCCAAAGTTTTTAGCGAATGTAGGGGGATGGCACAATCATGTCCGCACACGATCACATGAGCTACATGTTGCGCCATGTCAGCGCACATTCGCATTTCAACATGAAGAACAATTTTTAAAAATTCACAAAAATCTACGCGATGCACATAAAAAGAAAAATTTTCGACTAATTTCTGATTTGATTTATTTTCACACCTTGTTTTTGGCGCGCTAGCGGCATCAAAGTGTTGCCATAAAAGAGGCAATGAGGGAATGTGCTCCAAAAAATTATGGGAGAGAAAAAAACACAGTTTGACGCAAAGAAAAAGATCAGAGAAAAATGACAACTTTGGGAGTTCTTATAAAGTTGTCATAAACTTGCTAGCTATTTGTGTATTTGCGGCACCGGTCATACTGTTGTGTGCGCCCTGCCGTGGCCTACCTACATATAAAGCAACTTTGAAGATTCTAGAGAAGCTCTAGAAATATTCAGCTTTTACAAAAAAAAGTGCAACGGAATTATCCGTCAACCTAATAGACTGTATGATACAGTATATCTGAAAACTACATCGTTTGCCCATACGGGAAGTTAGGTGATTGTGCAAAGCAGGGTATTGTTTACCAGCTAGAGTGCTTAAGTTGTGGAACAACTTACATAGGGGAGACCGGAAGGACACTAAGTATTAGATTGAAAAAACCTCTGGCCAGCAAAAGAGGGGTACAATGTCATCACCATTAGGAAAACGTAAAGTGGCACATAAAAGTGACGATTTCAACTAAAATGCACGATATTAGCGTATGAGACTGAAATTTCGGGAAAAAAAGACATTAGGGGCAGCATGGATATCCTTTGGAAATCCGGAGATGAATATAAACTGAATGCTTGACAATGACCAGCGACCTCCTGCTCTTCATATAATTACGTCATTTATAACCGCATCCTGTATACATAGCTTTGACTCACTGAGCACCCCTCAGTGATGTCAGTCGTGCGGACTACTAACTCCACGGTGGACTGAAGGTTGGTTACCCCACTTCAGATTATTTTCCAGTACGTTGTACCTAGACAAGATCTAAATGCCACAAGTTAGAAGAGGCGTTTGGTCGTATAGACTGACTATAAAAGCTGCAGTCCCCTTCAGGCCTCCGAAGAAGACGATACTTGTCGAAAGTTAGGCAATAAAGGTCCACCATAAAAACCTCTCTGGCACAAAATCAAAATCACAAAGTCAACTAAATGTGGAGGTTTAAAGAAGAGAGCACATGGGAACTAATTACGCTGGCTATTTAATAAGTCGTTTGTAAATGAATATGAAGTAAAAAAATAACCATACTGCAAACTTACAATCCATATAACGGCAATGATTAACATCACCCGTTGTGATGTACGCCAGTTACGATACGTAGCCGGATGCTTTACAGAACAGTACCTACATGAAGAATTTATTTGATACCATGAGTTGAAATTACACTTACCTATCTACGGTGATACCAAGCACCGTATAAATGGAAGCAAGACAGACGGTGTAGTCGATTGACAGCCATAGATCGCAAAGAAAACTGCCAAATGACCAGTGCTGATTGTGCAGAAAAAAATGTGTATAGACGGGAATGCCTTCCAAGCCGATTATCTAAACATGATCATCAGAAAGTGCTGATAACAGGTATGTAATCATAGTCCTTGACCATATATGAGTGAGACAGTTTAGAAGTGGGAATTTGAAATCTTGATTCAAGAATAATATTAACCAGATACGACAACTATCCTTTTACAAACAGCGTAAAAAATCAATGGCTAAAAAATTGAAGTGACATCTGATAATTATATTTTGAGTTTAAAACACACATGCATTCATTTAGTCAAAATGCACTTTGAAAAAAAAAACGTGTTCATGCACTTTGTTTTATTTGCTCATCTAATTTTGAGAGCTTATATTTTAGTAATGTATTCGTAACTTATAAGTTCCCTTCTTCGTAGCACCCTATTATTTCCTGAAATCCGCTAAAGGAAACGATATGCATTTTATATGTCTCACTCCGCTCGAAGGAAGTAAACAAATTAAGAGCGAAATAATCGTTTTCCTACGAGCTAATCCTATATGTATTTCGTCGTAAAGATTGGTAGAACACGTTATTAGCTCATATGGAAAGCGCAAGAACTTCATGCTTGTTGGTAATTATTCTGTGCTCTGTAATGACACTGTACGGATATAATTAAAGCTGCAAAATGAATCTGTGAGAGCCAGTACTTTACAGATCTGTGTGCGATCGCGCAGACTGAGCTAAAATCATATGAGTGCGCTAACAGTTCTACAAGATAAAGAGACTGAATATATATGAATGCTTTTTTCATTCGATAGTCAAAAACAGTCAAAGAGGTTTTTATTTCAATTGTAAACAATCTCCCATGAAATTGGTATTGTATGAGTAATAAAGCAAAGCACAGATATCTGGCAAGTCTCAGTTAATCATTCACACATATGTTGATAATCTCTCCAATTTGAAACCCGTTACGCATACAAGCTCCTTCTGGAATCAAAGTACATTGCAAAAGACGGTCTTAATCCTTTTAAGTCTGATCTTAAGAAAAAAAAAGCGCTAAGACACTATGCATAATTTATTTTATTTATTTTGTTCCAGAAAGAAAATGAGATTCCAACCATGAGCTAATTATACAAGACGAAATGCGATTTCTCCTGCGATCAAAGTAAGGTAAAGAGCAGAATTTCGCTTGTCAGAGGAGAATATACACATTGATAAGTTGCTCTGATCAAACTCAAAGCAAAATTTGCGTTCCTCTTTTGGACAGGTGTTCCAATTTTATTTGTTCATCGTAGAAACAACGATCTCATTTATACAAATTATCTTGAATTCCAAATCTCTTTGCTCTCAGATTGGGAGTTGGGAACGGTTTTGACTTTTCTACAAGTAGCTTTTAATTGTGTAGTATCACCCAAGGAATAAAATCATCTACTTGAATTTTGTACATTTAAAAAAGGCGTAGAAGTACCGCTCTCACGTTATGCTCTGTGATGAGACACATCCAATCACCCCCTCAAGGGGTGACTCTTTCGATCCCAAAGCACATTTTCTGCTTTAATTATATCCGTACAGTGTCATTACAGAGCACAGAATAATTACCAACAAGCATGAAGTTCTTGCGCTTTCCATATGAGCTAATAACGTGTTCTACCAATCTTTACGACGAAATACATATAGGATTAGCTCGTAGGAAAACGATTATTTCGCTCTTAATTTGTTTACTTCCTTCGAGCGGAGTGAGACATATAAAATGCATATCGTTTCCTTTAGCGGATTTCAGGAAATAATAGGGTGCTACGAAGAAGGGAACTTATAAGTTACGAATACATTACTAAAATATAAGCTCTCAAAATTAGATGAGCAAATAAAACAAAGTGCATGAACACGTTTTTTTTTTCAAAGTGCATTTTGACTAAATGAATGCATGTGTGTTTTAAACTCAAAATATAATTATCAGATGTCACTTCAATTTTTTAGCCATTGATTTTTTACGCTGTTTGTAAAAGGATAGTTGTCGTATCTGGTTAATATTATTCTTGAATCAAGATTTCAAATTCCCACTTCTAAACTGTCTCACTCATATATGGTCAAGGGACTATGATTACATACCTGTTATCAGCACTTTCTGATGATCATGTTTAGATAATCGGCTTGGAAGGCATTCCCGTCTATACACATTTTTTTCTGCACAATCAGCACTGGTCATTTGGCAGTTTTCTTTGCGATCTATGGCTGTCAATCGACTACACCGTCTGTCTTGCTTCCATTTATACGGTGCTTGGTATCACCGTAGATAGGTAAGTGTAATTTCAACTCATGGTATCAAATAAATTCTTCATGTAGGTACTGTTCTGTAAAGCATCCGGCTACGTATCGTAACTGGCGTACATCACAACGGGTGATGTTAATCATTGCCGTTATATGGATTGTAAGTTTGCAGTATGGTTATTTTTTTACTTCATATTCATTTACAAACGACTTATTAAATAGCCAGCGTAATTAGTTCCCATGTGCTCTCTCTTTAAACCTCCACATTTAGTTGACTTTGTGATTTTGATTTTGTGCCAGAGAGGTTTTTATGGTGGACCTTTATTGCCTAACTTTCGACAAGTATCGTCTTCTTCGGAGGCCTGAAGGGGACTGCAGCTTTTATAGTCAGTCTATACGACCAAACGCCTCTTCTAACTTGTGGCATTTAGATCTTGTCTAGGTACAACGTACTGGAAAATAATCTGAAGTGGGGTAACCAACCTTCAGTCCACCGTGGAGTTAGTAGTCCGCACGACTGACATCACTGAGGGGTGCTCAGTGAGTCAAAGCTATGTATACAGGATGCGGTTATAAATGACGTAATTATATGAAGAGCAGGAGGTCGCTGGTCATTGTCAAGCATTCAGTTTTATTATTCATCTCCGATTTCCAAAGGATATCCATGCTGCCCCTAATGTCTTTTTTTCCCGAAATTTCAGTCTCATACGCTAATATCGTGCATTTTAGTTGAAATCGTCACTTTTATGTGCCACTTTACGTTTTCCTAATGGTGATGACATTGTACCCCTCTTTTGCTGGCCAGAGGTTTTTTCAATCTAATACTTAGTGTCCTTCCGGTCTCCCCTATGTAAGTTGTTCCACAACTTAAGCACTCTAGCTGGTAAACAATACCCTGCTTTGCACAATCACCTAACTTCCCGTATGGGCAAACGATGTAGTTTTCAGATATACTGTATCATACAGTCTATTAGGTTGACGGATAATTCCGTTGCACTTTTTTTTGTAAAAGCTGAATATTTCTAGAGCTTCTCTAGAATCTTCAAAGTTGCTTTATATGTAGGTAGGCCACGGCAGGGCGCACACAACAGTATGACCGGTGCCGCAAATACACAAATAGCTAGCAAGTTTATGACAACTTTATAAGAACTCCCAAAGTTGTCATTTTTCTCTGATCTTTTTCTTTGCGTCAAACTGTGTTTTTTTCTCTCCCATAATTTTTTGGAGCACATTCCCTCATTGCCTCTTTTATGGCAACACTTTGATGCCGCTAGCGCGCCAAAAACAAGGTGTGAAAATAAATCAAATCAGAAATTAGTCGAAAATTTTTCTTTTTATGTGCATCGCGTAGATTTTTGTGAATTTTTAAAAATTGTTCTTCATGTTGAAATGCGAATGTGCGCTGACATGGCGCAACATGTAGCTCATGTGATCGTGTGCGGACATGATTGTGCCATCCCCCTACATTCGCTAAAAACTTTGGACTATACCCTGCCCGAATACCACGTTCCCCGGTCTCCCCTTGATCACCTGAAAGAATGCGCCCGCTGACAAAAATGTCCATAAGACGTACTCTCACCGATAAAGTGGGGGTTTTGCGCAGGGACCGCGGTTCTGACAGTGCCCGGTGGGTAGACCTTTGCATCCCGGATGTTTCTTAGATTTCTAGAAAATAAAAATGAAAGGTAACAGAAATAATTCCCCAACCTAATATTTCTGATCAACCGCTTTCTGATAGTATTGCTAGGAATGTTGACCATCATTACTTCGTTCTGTAACTGTGCGCTATGCAGCGTTTAATGGTCTCACTAAATCTGTCGGATACAAAAGGCATAGCAAAGAAAGCTCGAAAAACATCCTTGTCCGCCACGTCAGCGCATTCTATAGCTCTAAAGCGCTACGTTATCCATAATATGTACAAAACCGCTGCAGAAGTCTGTACTGGAGAGAGCGAACGATTAGAATCACTAGCACGCAAATTTGCTTGCCGCAATGGATACATAATACACTTACGGCAAAGACCATCTAGATACGTAAACGAGTGAAGCAACGACAACAAAATTCCCCTTTGCATGCCTTTTGTATCCGACAGATTTAGTGAGACCATTAAACGCTGCATAGCGCACAGTTACAGAACGAAGTAATGATGGTCAACATTCCTAGCAATACTATCAGAAAGCGGTTGATCAGAAATATTAGGTTGGGGAATTATTTCTGTTACCTTTCATTTTTATTTTCTAGAAATCTAAGAAACATCCGGGATGCAAAGGTCTACCCACCGGGCACTGTCAGAACCGCGGTCCCTGCGCAAAACCCCCACTTTATCGGTGAGAGTACGTCTTATGGACATTTTTGTCAGCGGGCGCATTCTTTCAGGTGATCAAGGGGAGACCGGGGAACGTGGTATTCGGGCAGGGTATAGTCCAAAGTTTTTAGCGAATGTAGGGGGATGGCACAATCATGTCCGCACACGATCACATGAGCTACATGTTGCGCCATGTCAGCGCACATTCGCATTTCAACATGAAGAACAATTTTAAAAATTCACAAAAATCTACGCGATGCACATAAAAAGAAAAATTTTCGACTAATTTCTGATTTGATTTATTTTCACACCTTGTTTTTGGCGCGCTAGCGGCATCAAAGTGTTGCCATAAAAGAGGCAATGAGGGAATGTGCTCCAAAAAATTATGGGAGAGAAAAAACACAGTTTGACGCAAAGAAAAAGATCAGAGAAAAATGACAACTTTGGGAGTTCTTATAAAGTTGTCATAAACTTGCTAGCTATTGTGTATTTGCGGCACCGGTCATACTGTTGTGTGCGCCCTGCCGTGGCCTACCTACATATAAAGCAACTTTGAAGATTCTAGAGAAGCTCTAGAAATATTCAGCTTTTACAAAAAAAAGTGCACGGAATTATCCGTCAACCTAATAGACTGTATGATACAGTATATCTGAAAACTACATCGTTTGCCCATACGGGAAGTTAGGTGATTGTGCAAAGCAGGGTATTGTTTACCAGCTAGAGTGCTTAAGTTGTGGAACAACTTACATAGGGGAGACCGGAAGGACACTAAGTATTAGATTGAAAAAACCTCTGGCCAGCAAAAGAGGGGTACAATGTCATCACCATTAGGAAAACGTAAAGTGGCACATAAAAGTGACGATTTCAACTAAAATGCACGATATTAGCGTATGAGACTGAAATTTCGGGAAAAAAAGACATTAGGGGCAGCATGGATATCCTTTGGAAATCCGGAGATGAATAATAAAACTGAATGCTTGACAATGACCAGCGACCTCCTGCTCTTCATATAATTACGTCATTTATAACCGCATCCTGTATACATAGCTTTGACTCACTGAGCACCCCTCAGTGATGTCAGTCGTGCGGACTACTAACTCCACGGTGGACTGAAGGTTGGTTACCCCACTTCAGATTATTTTCCAGTACGTTGTACCTAGACAAGATCTAAATGCCACAAGTTAGAAGAGGCGTTTGGTCGTATAGACTGACTATAAAAGCTGCAGTCCCCTTCAGGCCTCCGAAGAAGACGATACTTGTCGAAAGTTAGGCAATAAAGGTCCACCATAAAAACCTCTCTGGCACAAAATCAAATCACAAAGTCAACTAAATGTGGAGGTTTAAAGAAGAGAGCACATGGGAACTAATTACGCTGGCTATTTAATAAGTCGTTTGTAAATGAATATGAAGTAAAAAAATAACCATACTGCAAACTTACAATCCATATAACGGCAATGATTAACATCACCCGTTGTGATGTACGCCAGTTACGATACGTAGCCGGATGCTTTACAGAACAGTACCTACATGAAGAATTTATTTGATACCATGAGTTGAAATTACACTTACCTATCTACGGTGATACCAAGCACCGTATAAATGGAAGCAAGACAGACGGTGTAGTCGATTGACAGCCATAGATCGCAAAGAAAACTGCCAAATGACCAGTGCTGATTGTGCAGAAAAAAATGTGTATAGACGGGAATGCCTTCCAAGCCGATTATCTAAACATGATCATCAGAAAGTGCTGATAACAGGTATGTAATCATAGTCCTTGACCATATATGAGTGAGACAGTTTAGAAGTGGGAATTTGAAATCTTGATTCAAGAATAATATTAACCAGATACGACAACTATCCTTTTACAAACAGCGTAAAAAATCAATGGCTAAAAAATTGAAGTGACATCTGATAATTATATTTTGAGTTTAAAACACACATGCATTCATTTAGTCAAAATGCACTTTGAAAAAAAAAACGTGTTCATGCACTTTGTTTTATTTGCTCATCTAATTTTGAGAGCTTATATTTTAGTAATGTATTCGTAACTTATAAGTTCCCTTCTTCGTAGCACCCTATTATTTCCTGAAATCCGCTAAAGGAAACGATATGCATTTTATATGTCTCACTCCGCTCGAAGGAAGTAAACAAATTAAGAGCGAAATAATCGTTTTCCTACGAGCTAATCCTATATGTATTTCGTCGTAAAGATTGGTAGAACACGTTATTAGCTCATATGGAAAGCGCAAGAACTTCATGCTTGTTGGTAATTATTCTGTGCTCTGTAATGACACTGTACGGATATAATTAAAGCTGCAAAATGAATCTGTGAGAGCCAGTACTTTACAGATCTGTGTGCGATCGCGCAGACTGAGCTAAAATCATATGAGTGCGCTAACAGTTCTACAAGATAAAGAGACTGAATATATATGAATGCTTTTTTCATTCGATAGTCAAAAACAGTCAAAGAGGTTTTTATTTCAATTGTAAACAATCTCCCATGAAATTGGTATTGTATGAGTAATAAAGCAAAGCACAGATATCTGGCAAGTCTCAGTTAATCATTCACACATATGTTGATAATCTCTCCAATTTGAAACCCGTTACGCATACAAGCTCCTTCTGGAATCAAAGTACATTGCAAAAGACGGTCTTAATCCTTTTAAGTCTGATCTTAAGAAAAAAAAAGCGCTAAGACACTATGCATAATTTATTTTATTTATTTTGTTCCAGAAAGAAAATGAGATTCCAACCATGAGCTAATTATACAAGACGAAATGCGATTTCTCCTGCGATCAAAGTAAGGTAAAGAGCAGAATTTCGCTTGTCAGAGGAGAATATACACATTGATAAGTTGCTCTGATCAAACTCAAAGCAAAATTTGCGTTCCTCTTTTTGGACAGGTGTTCCAATTTTATTTGTTCATCGTAGAAACAACGATCTCATTTATACAAATTATCTTGAATTCCAAATCTCTTTGCTCTCAGATTGGGAGTTGGGAACGGTTTTGACTTTTCTACAAGTAGCTTTTAATTGTGTAGTATCACCCAAGGAATAAAATCATCTACTTGAATTTTGTACATTTAAAAAAGGCGTAGAAGTACCGCTCTCACGTTATGCTCTGTGATGAGACACATCCAATCACCCCTCAAGGGTGACTCTTTCGATCCCAAAGCACATTTTCTGCTTTTCCCATCCCTTACAACAATAGAAAGCTCAGTGCACGTTCTCACAACAATGTTGTCCCAGCGAAACAAAGCTTCATGAACCTATTCATGTGGTGCAGCTCGTTCGAATTGCCAAAACAAACGGATTACTGGGAGAACAACACCCAGTTGCATTAGTGCAAGCGTTTTGTAAATCATATTTGCTTCAAATAGATTCATCTTTCTGCCTGCACGTAGTCTCACGATCAAATGGTATGTAAAGTTCGGTTAGCTCAGAAGTACAAGAGTTCCTCTGAAACTCTTTAATCTTCATAATGTGTCTGCCTCTACCAAAAAGCATCAGCTTAGCCTGAACGAAAGTGCAACCAAGACAGGGATCTGTGTTGATTCTTTGTATAATCTTGCTTGTATCGGAAAACGGGCTAGAGAGCTAGAGCTATAAAATAGTGCTCAATGCAGGGCCAACATTCGAGCACCCTAACTTCGGATCTATGCAAGAAAGACATTTTGTCAAGCAGACTCTTCAACTACTGTTAGTGCGGAAGCACAATTGAAGCACACATTCGAATCCAAGCTCGATCCGACCTGGATCGAGCCCGGATACAAATGGTTATATAGCAGTGGCGTACCCAGGATTTCGGCTCGGGGGGGGGGGGGGGCGCGACAAAAAATTTTTTCTAATGAAGGTGCGTGGCGTTAGCCACGCACTCCGAAAAAGTTTTTGGGGTGCTTCTCAGAATTTTCGCGGGTCCCCGACCCCTAAAATCTGGAAAAAGGGGGCCTGGCGTCAGCCACGCCCCCGAAAAATTTTTTTTACAGGGCTAATTTGAATTTTTAAAAATTTTCAAAAATTATTTTAATTATTTACAAAATAAACAAGTCACTTGCACATTTTTATAACCCATATAGATAACTTTCAAAAATTTCGCGACCCATTCTCGGGGGGGGGGCGTCCCCCCCCCCCCCTGCCCCCCCCCCCCCCCTCGGTACGCCACTGTTATATAGCTATACGCTAGCTACTCATCTTTCACGATTTTTTTTTTGAATTTCCTCCTTTGGCAGATGACTATGTGCTCTGATTCTTGTCATGAATTGCTTTTTAGCGTGAGCAAAAATCTAATAAACTAGTGAGAAATAAGCAGCTATCATACAGTTGTACTCAGACAGGCACTTCTGATTGATAGAACATGCTCGTTGACGAGCGCAGTTGATTGGCTGTCTTAAATTTGGAAATTGTTGACTGCGAAGCGAGAGATGGCGATGCGAAGCTAATGTTACCGGACTCAGGTGACTATTGCGTCTTTTTTGCACAAATTATGAGCGATTTTATCTTAGTTTGCGGAATACATGAGCTGAAAACGCATAATTAGAGTGATATTTGAGATATTTTCCAGCACGGTAAAGATAATACCACGGTCGTTGAATTGCTATTCTGTTACGTTGTAAGATGCAAAACCATAACGACGCTAGGAAGAACGCAGCTTTTCTTTGACTTTTCTTAGAACAATGATACAAACATGTTGCAGTGGTCTCATCTCTTTCGGTTTTGAGCGAACTTATTTCTGTGACACCTGCTTCGAGTTCAACAAGCTTACAATATGCCTTGCGTATGACACCAATCGCATATCACATAGTTAAGAATGTCAGTACGAGCCTTACTCACAGTAACATCTGTTCCCCATCTCCTTCGCTCTTCTTCTTTGCTTCTCAACCTCACAGCTGTATTTCGCAAAAAATGTCCATTCCGTTGTCAAAGTAGCTACGTTACATGTTTGCTGATGTGCTCGTTACCACCAACCGAGCGCAAAAATATATCGACAAGATTTAGCAGAGCTGCAGTAACTCGCACACATCATTCGCGCTCATCTAGCACACAGCTCATCAACGTAATCAGATTGCCCAAGAATTGAAACATCCACGAAAACTAGCTCGAAACATGCAGTAAACAATAAGGGCAGGTTGCTAGCAAAATGAGCAACATAAGGAAGCATAGAAGCAAGAAAGGGGTAAAGAAGTGCTGGAAAAGAATGTTAGGAAAATAGCCTGTGGTAAGCAATGATTATTTTTATGGTAATTTACTACACCTTGTTGTACTTGGAAATGATGTTATTATCGAGTCATTCATAAATTAATACGCATATTGCACACTATACGACGCTCTTATCAGTAACTCCTCTTCGGTAAAACCTTTTCTACGTGCTACTAGACTTCTTTTAAGATCAGAACCTGTTCAGTTCCAGCAATTTCTCCTTGTTTCTTTGTATTTGAGTTTTGATTGAGGATGTATTAGCCAGTAAAACACATTTTTACGATTTGTTACGCTAGAAAAGGTTTAACTGACAATGAGGAGTTACCGGTAAGAGTGTCGTCAGTGGCAGCGTATAATGTGCAGACTCACACATATCAAGTTACAAATCATCCGTAGATAAGAAGATACATGAAAATATAAAATAATCACTCTTTCTGGGCAACTAAATTTCTTTGGTCTATGAGCGCAAGAAGAAAACATGGAAAGAGCCTTTGCTTCTTCAACATTACATTTGAGAATTCGCAGTAAGTTCATCCTGCTAGCAAGAATTATTCGCGAAATTTGAATTCTTGTGTAGGTTTCAGACCCTAACCATGATGCTGCCACTGACCTTATTACTATGCGTGCGTATGACACAAAAAGCTGATTTCTGATGCAGCTAATCATTGAGATTTGGTGTATAAGAAAAGCTATCTGTCTAATCTTTCAATCCATATCCTATGTACGATTAGCGTCTTATACACTTGCAAATACTGCGGAATTCCTTCGTCTGTTCTCACATATTTCCCTCATCTAGTGCTCCTACCGTATCAATGGCCTCTAGCATTGAATTATCCCTATAAACGATGGTGCCCTGCACTTCTACAAAGCATGACAACAGAGTAATTTCCTGTCAATTTTTTGTAGTTTCTATGCTAAATAATCTATGCAAATGTCGCTAAGAATCGATTTACTTAGTCTAAAGCAGCGCACTTTGCACCTATGCCTTTATGTAATAAGCTTAACTTCACCTATATGAGCTCGCTGTTGGCAAAGCTTGTTATTCAGCAGATTAGGTGAAGCCAGCGAGATGCATTTACATTTTAGTGGTTTGGGATGGGTACAGAATAAGTGCAACGGAATTTTTACTTCCGTGAACGTGAGAAAATACAGTCGCATGATTTTACATACGTTGAAAGAGTGCATCAAAATCTCCATCATGGGGTTGAAAATAAGAAAACCCCTTGAGAAGATCCAATGTTTCTGGATTGGAGGCACCTTGTTTGCGTTGAGCTGCTGAATTGAAATCGTAGATGAAGGACGAATAACGCTCATCAAAAAATGAAATCACAATTTGACAATTAGTTCAGCTCAGGTCATCTAATGAGTTGTAGAATACTGGGTATGCATCCCAGTTGAATGTTATGCCACGGGTATAGCAGTTTTACCATAATTCAGAATTGTGCTGCACATGGTACATCACGCAATTTCAAATTATTAGCTCTGGAGCTCCCCTACAAGGGCAATATGTGCTGCCTAAGAACTGTCCTCAAATTTATAGGGAGTACATATCGCTACTGTTTACATCAAATGCACCCCTTTCATGGCATTACCCCTCTCGTGCGGCAGTCCTTTCAAGAACTTTGCTCAGAAACTCTAGTGATAAATCTTCTTCTTTATGCACCCCCACTGATCCTTCTCTTTCGTTTAAAATGATGGTTGAGAGTCGCAAGCGAACCCACGCCGAACTTATTCACAGCCATCCATCTTGCGCGATCTTATAAGCCATCCATTCTTTTGCCAAAGATTTTTCAGCGTTCCAAGCTTTCTGTTTTGCTGCCCCCCAGAGGACCGAAAAGAATGAAGTAAAAAGTTTAGACATCGACGAACACATAGCAAACTAATATTGTTGAAAGCTAGATGTTCGATAACTGTTATTCTGAATGTGTATTACATGAATGTCATGCCGAAAATAAATCTTTATGTGGAAGGTGAAGCAGTAGCACTTGTTTACTGTAACAAAATGGCACAAAGTGCTCGAAAAAAAAGAGGGAGAAAGAGAATGATGGCGGAAATCATGAGGCATTCTCAGTCAGAGGACTTCGTACAAATGCTTAGCTGTTTCTTACATAATTAATTAGATCTGGTATGCTTGGTTAACACCCTGGAAAATCGCGTATCATACATCTCGCCAAAGATAGTCCAACCTAATGTCATGTACAGAGCAAATCTTGCATTTTGCATTTCAATAATTTAGCTAGATCATGACATCCGAGGATTTGTTCCCAATGTTATGTGATAGAGTTAATTTAGAACATTGTGAAAAACATTTTATTCGATAGTACTTAGCCCTTGAAGCCCGTAGAACCAATCCATTTTTGAACAAAACTGCTCAAAGACGCCGAAATGTATGTTGACAACAGCCTTACTTCCTTTGAACTGTGATCGCTGTGCAGCGGAAGTAATTGACCCTACTCCAGCTGCTTTCTGAAGTTTTGCACAACTAATGGATTTCTTTCCATAATCGTGCATAGTCGGATGCGTGCGGAGTGTTTGTTTTTTTTCCGCTCTTCTAAATGGCTTCTTTTGTTTAGTAAAGACCCTGTCGCTCCAGGAGAGGTATATCGCAGTAAAAATGCAAAGTTTGACTCGTATGTTATTTAATGGAAGGCAGAGAAAGAGGAAGCAACTTCTTCTATAAGAAGGCAAAACTTCAATGAGAAAAAGAATCAGAGTGCGCAAACTAGACCGTACTTTCTTACCAAGGAAGTATATGAAGCACAACCTTGTAACACGGACTTCTGGCTGGTTTGCCTCTCAAAGTTGCAGAGCTCTAGAAGATTCCAAGAATTCCGAAAAGGATTTTTGCATAAGGTTTCTTAGTAGCTTACAAACAATCATAAATACATTCCTTAAAAACATTTTCCTCCCCGAAAAAAAAAATGCATTTGTTTCGACAGTTCAAACTATCAAACTCGAGAATATCGTAAAAGACTTTTAGTATCAGCACCTCGATACTGCATTACACACCATATTCAACCATATTTACAGACCTTCACAGGCTGCGAACAGTCTCAACTTGCTGATATCTCACCTAATCTCTCTCCAAAGCTTCACGTTGGCAGTGAAGGTTAGCATATTAGCATATTCCAGCATCCCTTATGCTGATATTGAAGCCGTCTCGGATATATTTCCGATGGCGACCCTCACCCTCGCGATTAACATTTTATGAATTCGGCTGCCCGAATGCGCACTGAGGTAAAGGCTGCTGCACCTAATTGCCTTTATTTCTCCGAGAACGATTAGTTCGAGGAAGCAGCTAAGCACCGCACGAAGATGCGGTGACGCAGCTTCACTTAAGGACCATATTTATAAAGATGTATTTGACTGCATTGACACTACGTCATGATGGCGTCATTTCATATAATTTGATATGATACTGCTATCTCATGCGTACACGCAAAGAAAAATTACGCCAAATTGGCCAGTATATTAACAAAAAGCTGGAAATTTGTCCTTTGCATTTAGCGGTTTTATCGACTTTTTTTCTTACAAATCTTGAGCTGGAGTGTTGGGAATTGTCACATAAGGACGCTAACCAACCTTATGTGATCCACGTGCAACATCAGTTACAAGCATAAACTGGTAACAGTCTTCGATCATCTCGTTCTATGCTTGTAAGCATCGTACTTGTGTAAAAGTCTTACCCATGCACCTCATTTTCCCAAATTTTTGCCTTGTGGCTCCCTTGTGCAGGCTCAATTTCAACTAGTTCCCGGGTTATGCGCATCAACAGGGCAAGATAACCGCGCTATTACTGAACAAGGGCCCTCAGGGATTTGGCGCTGGCACGGGGTGAAGTGCCAAATCAACGCGACGGCGCGCAATGCGGAATGCGCATAGACGCATAACCATTGCCTCTGAAGTGTTGGAAAAGGAAGCAAAAAATAAGAGCGGCCGAATTCCGGCGAGACTTCGCCATCATCAATAATACCACATAAATAACATGGCTTGCTATAGCATCCACATAGAAAAGTTAGGAATTTTAGCAGTAATTCATTTAGTGATCATAAAGAGTCTACCTAGACTTATTTGCGAATACTGAGTGAGACGCTGACTAAACCATTGCCCAAACGAAAGCTCACATGATTTATTCGTAATTAAGTAATCTAGCTTCAAACTCTCGCCCAGTACCGTAAACAGCCCCAACAGCATCGCCTAAACGATCGATTTGATCGATGGCTACAATGGCTACACTTTTTCTAAACAGGTTCGGATAGGAATTAGCAGATCCATAAGAAATGCCAAAATTTCATATTCATGGTGGAATTTTTTAAAAAGTTGTCGATGTTTTGCTTTCAGAAGATTCCTCATTCGCCTAGCAATACCCATGGCAGCTATGTCAGTACTTTCTTGATTGATTCTAGAAGGACAAGAAAGAGAGAAAAGATCCAAATCGAAGCTGTCTAATAAAAAGCAACTTGATTAGCCATACGGTCACCGGCATAAAGGTTACAAATACTCAAATCTCATCACATCGAAAGTTGATACCAATTGGTAGGAGCATTCCTAGTTCTCACACTTATCTGAGGTTCTTGTATGCAAACAGATTTTACTAAGCAAGTCTTCTTAATCCTTTGAATGCAAAAATTCGCAATTATTGATTATTGAAACGAGAAACTCTAACATTTGACCTATCGTCAATTCAACCCTTGCCTAATCCAGCTTCATGCAGTTCGCAGATCCTAACCATGATGCTGATGCATTTTATGATGTTTTTATAGCAGTCTCGTGAGTCTGCAAGAAAAAGTTGAGCAAAGCTGCGTGAAGTCTAGCTTGTAGGAGAACATGCGAGTTTTTGAAGTGTGTGAATTTGATTAGCTTCAAAAGTGCATAAGGGCGGAAATTTACATTCAACATCAGCGCGGAAGTAGGCTGTTCTTCAAAACGCACCTATCTGTTTTTGTAGACTAAGCAAACTTGCTAAAAAATGGTTACTGAAAACTTCCTTAGTGTCCAAATGGCTTCTAAAGCAGCCGCCTAACCAGAAGCTATGATCTTGCTTACTTTGATTTTCAACCATACTTCTCAATACAAATGAGCACTGACGCTTTTGACGCCAAACGGGGAAGTATCTTATCGAGTAAAAAACTTCCTTGATTTTTTGGTGTTTCAGTTTGTAAATGATTGGTATCACTTTTTTTCAACCATATTAGCCAGTACATCATTTTTTGAATGTCAGTTTATCCGTAGCAGGTGAAAGTTTGGAAGCAAAGACAAGACAAGTCCGCTCGGTCAAGGCCAAAAGCACATAAGTTTATCACAAATTCTGTGCTAGGCGAAAAACTTTCGGAAAAAATATTAATCTGAAAGTTCATTTCCAGTTTTCAATCAGATTAAAACTTTCATTATGAGGCTCAAAACCTTTCCTCAGTCGGTAGCGATTATGCGCAGCACATAATCCAAGGCATATTAAAGCACAACCTTACATCAAAATAATGCCAATTCGATTGAGAAGCGAAAAAAGAAGGAAGTATGGAAAAGTCCATAATGTCAGGATTTATTTTCTTAAGCTAACGCAAGCCATTTAGCCATTCTCCCCAGAAAGTCGATTCACATATCCGAATTCCCTTTCTTTTCTCCATAAATTATGCTCACGGCCATCTCCCTTTATGGTGCTTTCGAATGTTATATGGCAAAAAAGTTTGCTAGCGACGATATCTCGTCATATTTTCAATATCTCGCGTCAATGGTCAGTAATGGGATTGCCTTACATATCTGGAAACGCTTATCAGGTGGATATGACAAGCGATAAACTGGGAAAAAATCGTGTTTACGTCATCGTAATTCTTCAAAAGGCTACAATCCATGTTAAGCAGAGGCATATGATCGCAAAGCCGTGTTGTAAGGTGTTGACATATTTTCGTCATTTGTTGATCGTACTTTGTTGACGTCTGCATCATTTTGCTTGGAAAAAGATTAGGAATATGACCTTCACTAGAATTTGCAGCTTCAGCTTCGCATATGGAAGGTAGTATTTCGATTTTGAGTGATTTGAACACCAAAATACTCTTTACTAGTATTCCTACCACCCAAAATAATGCGTTCGTACCGCTAAAGCCAAATTCTCCGACTTGTATCATTACCCATGTCAACTCCCCAAAACGAACGATGTTGCTTTGGGCTCCGGGAAAAAACGAAGTTCTAGTGCGCAGCGCTCATGGCGCTCTGCATTCGGTTCATTTATGATAATCGAGTTTCGTCGTCACCACCAGCATTTGCCCGCTCTCGTTTGCTAGCGTTGTGCCTTATCGCCAACGGCTACCTCGGCATGTTTTTCAGCTGCATATGAATGTTGCTGATTGACATCTATAGCAATAGGGATTGCTAAAGGACAGGCAAATGCTGGCAATTGGTCATTTTTTAGGCCTATCATGTGCAGTAGTAGCATCTACGCCTATTCCACAGCTCATTTGCTCGCCTTGTTCGTAAAGGAGAGTAAAAACGAATGTGAACGAACGCAGAATGTGATGCGAGTCAAGCAAACAAATATATAGCAAAAACAGTTGGTGCGAGCTCGGCCCAGCTGGCACCGGTTCAAGCTGGATATCGTTTTTGGGACAAAAAGCAAGGGGATATCGTTTTTGTGGCAGAAAAGAACGAAAACTGCGGCTTTTTTTTGGTCGACGTTTCGTTTTTTTTTCGACGGTTTATTACGTTAAGGGTTTAGAGTAAAAGGTTAATGAAAGTCAAGAATGACCCGTTTCAAAAATTTCACTGGTGCCAGCTCCTGCCGAGCCCTGGTTTGGCAGGAGCTGGCACTATAGCGTACGGCATTGAATTTCCTCGATTTCGAATTCCCCTGTAATTTTCCAATTCACACTGATTGTAAGAAAGTTGTAAGAAGAAAATTTTTCTAGCACCAAGGAAATAAATCATAGAAGAACTTCAATAAGTTTATAGAACCAAAATGTTACAACTGATTGACCAAAATCTCAGGTTATCGTCTACCAAAACTTGCGGATTCTCTTGGAAAACAAACTGCCAGGGAATCATTCTCAAAAATTTGTTCAAATTTTGAGAATGATTCCCTGGCAAAGAACCTACAGTTCTTGAAAGCTATTATGCTTTGTAATTCTCTCTGTCCATCCATCTGACCTTTCACTGTCCCTGATGGTGAATTTACAATTTTTTTGAGCTAAAAAATCGTGTTAAACGCTTACGAAAATCACTTACGACATACACCCCTTCGCTATCCTAGCATGAGCAGATTAGCTGAAACCCGAGACAAGTTCCTCATACAAGTTTAGCTCCCCGATAGTTCTCGTGCTTCCACTTAGGAATTAATAGATAAGGCTTGCTTTTACGGATAAGCTCTGGTTCTTTTTCTAGAAGCTCGTCACGCGACAGAAGATGCAATAGTGTGGAACATCTTTGGTTTTTCGTAGTCTGTAGCAGAAAGTTTCTCCTACTCTCGACGTGAAAATGCCGTAAGCATAGAAAAAAAGAAGCGCATTAAACCGTACTATGAAACAAAAATATCGATGTTACGCATTTAGGAGATCCCTCCTCCACTGGCTTGCTTTACCATCAACAAGATCAGCTTAGACCTCTTGAGGACACACTCATCATGCTAGTATTCACGCTAGCGATTTGATTACACCAATGATTGCTGTAGATGTTGTGGGTAAGCGCCGTCCTCTCGACCTTTATGCGTTCAATCAAGAAATTTTATTTGAGTAGGCATCTCTTTAAGTGCAATTCAATTGATAGTTCGTTGAAAACCAAGTAACATTGCAGAGCTATCAACTTGGAGTGAATCAGAAGAGTGAAAATATGTTGTTGACACTATCTGCATTTTCCTTCTTGTATTAAAATTTAGAAAAGAAAGTACAAAAATATAAGCCTCTGTATTGATGCTGTTTTGAAAAGTAGAATGTTGATACATAAATGCAGAGGCGACAAAAAAAGAGATATGTTGCCCACATGTCATTATCGTTAGTGATAGAGTAGGTATAAGCAGTTCCGCTAGGAATCAAAAATTATATTATAACTAGCGGCCCTACGGGCCGCTGTAAGTGGGTCGGGGCAGATACATTAGTATTTGCTTAGTTGGGACGGCATCTAAGTACAAAGGGGTTCACATCTCCTCTCTAATGAAAAATCAAAATTCGCAGTAGGCACAAAAATGTCTGATCTTTCCTTCCAAATGCCACCACCAGAATTAAATTATTTAATACAGCTTGCTTCTTTCGTTGCTTAGTTAAAATCAAAATAATCCTAAAAGGATGACCAATGCAGATGCATGCTGGGCCCTCCGGGAGCAAAGCCATTTCCTATAGCTGAAATTCTGTCGAAATCGAGGTTTTTACCCTCTTTTGTGGAAATTGCGGGGAAAAAAAGACTTTCCGCTCCAAAAACTGGCGAGCCACAGAGAAAGCCTGCCGGAGCTCAACCAGCGAGACCATCTATGCTGGGTCTTTTTTCCGGGGGCAAAGGCATTTTCTGTGGCTGAAATTCTGTCGAAATCGATGTTTTTACCCTCTTTTGTGGAAATTGCGGGGAAAAAAAGACTTTCCGCTCCAAAAACTGGCGAGCCACAGAGAAAGCCTGCCGGAGCTCAACCAGCGAGACCACAGCTTCTATGCTGGGTCTTTTTTCCG